CCCACGATTGGGAACCATATAAAAGAGTAGACAGCACTATGGCTCTGGAAACACTGGTCTTGGTACTTTTCTTCAAGTGTTTATTACGCCAGACTCTTTTAGGGAGTTTTCCAAAAGCACTATATGCCTTCGCTAACCTGTTGTCTATCTCCCCGTCAATCTTACCATCCGAGAAGATGAGGCTGCCTAGGTAATTAAACTGTTGGACTGATTTGAGTTCTGGTTGGTTGATGGTGATGTGGGGACGGTGGGGGACTTCCTGAGGTGCAGGTTGATGGAGAACTTCTGTCTTCTTTAAGCTGACTTCCAGCCCAAAGAGCTCAGCAGCATCTGCAAAGCAGGATGTTAAACGCTGCAGGGCTGCTTCTGTGTGGGCAACAAGGGCGGCGTCATCAGCATAAAGCAGCTCCCGGACAAGATGGTTTAAGGCCTTGGTGTGGGCCTTCAGTCGCCTTAGGTTGAATAGGCTTCCATCGGTACGATCTCGAATGTAGATCCCGTCGTGATCATCGAGGTCTGCCGTGGCCGTTTGGAGCATCATGGTGAGAAAGACTACAATTAACTACTTTGATATTAACTACTGCTAATCTGTGCTCTTCATTCATCCGATGGGAGTCCCTGGAGCAGAGCTGGCTTGTCCGTCAATGGCCACGAGCAGTTGTTTGAGGCGATAGCGGAGGAAAAAGAAGTCTTGCCAGGCCTCTCTGTGGGCATCTGGATCCTGTGCCAGGTGCCAGAAAAGGTTGGCTGGCTGAAGCGTTTGGAAGTGTGGAGGCAAGTCGATCTCCAGTGGGATGCTCTGGTTGCCTATGACAAAGCTGTCCAGGCGTTTCTTCTGCAGGCAGCAGCGCAGGTAATCCAAGCTATCCAGCAGGCGCTGGCGGCAATCCCTCCTGCACCACTGTGCCATGGGGATGGTGTTGAGGAGGTGCATCATGATGGTCTTGAGGGTATAACTGGAAAAGGCTGTGTCCACCACGGTACGGGCCAAGAGCTGCAGGCATCTGAGGTGGCAGCTGTCATGTGGAGCCTGCCGGGCAATGTGGCTGAAGAACTTCATCTCTGCCACGGCGCAGGTCTCAGACCACACTGTGCTTGGGGTGAAGAGGGCCTCTCCAGACTGGCTGCTCACATAGATGTCTGAGTTTCCTTGCTGCACCCCAAACAGCACCTCAACACGGAAGCTTTCTCCGCCTTTGGTCAGCCGGAATTTACAGGAGCGGCTGGAGGGCAGCAACCTTAAATGCCAATGGTTGGACTGAGGCAAACGCAACCAACTCGTTCTCAACAACAGACGGAACCATAGGGTAGTTTTCTCCACGTCTAGGTAGGAACGAGTACAGAGGTTGGAGAGGAGGCTGAGCTGCTCATTCCTCCTCAACTCTTCCTCAGGGATGGGGACCTGCTCCACACGGATGCAGAATTTCTTTGCTGGCATCCCTGCGGCAGTGATCAGCTCCAGCTGGAAGGTGTGCCCCGGGGGAGGATTGAGGGGTACAAGGACACGGTACACAAGATCCTCCTGGCAGGGACTCCAACCTTCAAAGGCACTGTCCATGCCGATGGCTTGCTGTGGCACTGGGTAGAAACGACTTGACAAGAGGCATCCAAAGGCACGAGTCAAATCATCTATCAGGTCCCTTATCATGCAACCTCTGTCCAGAACAGGCCAGCGTATGCACTCCTCTATAAACCTGCCAAACTTACTTTCAGGATCTTGCTCTCGGTCTCCATTTGCACCATCTTGCCTTGCTTCTCTTCCAGCAGCATTGCTTCCCTCCACATTTGCACTCCCATTGACTTGGTCTTCATTTTCATCCTCAGTCTCATCATTTCCTTCCTTTTTAACATCATCTGCATTTGTGTCAACATGGCTTCCAACCTCTGCATTTCCATCCTTGCTGTCTTCCTCTACATTTACATCATCACTTTTTCCTCCTTTCTTTGCCACCACCTTATCTTTTTCTTCATCCTCCTGTGCCTCCACGTTGCTGCTGGCATTCTCCTGGGGTGCACTGCTGTGTGGCTCACGGCTCCTTTTCCTGAGGCTAAAGCACAGTGCCAAGAGAAGGCCCAGGACTCCAACAAGAGCCCAGAAGTGCCACTGCCCCAAGGTGGCCCAGAGCAGGGCTCCCCAGGCCCTGACACTGTGCTCCAAGCTGCTCTGCTCCAGCTCCTGCAGCAGCCGAGTCATTTCCTGGTTCAGATACTTCTCACGCATCTCCAGGCGCAAACGGGTGGCCTCATCCAGCCCATCCCCCACCATCTGTGGGTACTGGATGAGGGTTTGCACAAGAAGGACAAGGACTACTAAGGCCTCCATGGCCTGCAGGAGTAGGGAGACAAGGGGTTAAGTGGGGCTGAAAGGGAAGGAAGGGGGGGGTGTTTAGGGGGTGGGGGTGGGGGGAGGAATGGGCAGGGTGGGAAGGGTGGATGGGAGCTGCAGGAAAGTTGGGGCAGGAAGGAGACGGCCCAGGCAGTTGGCAAGTAGCAAGGCCCGTCCCACTGCCCCTGCAGCAGCACCGTTCCACACCCAAGATGCTCCTGTGAAAGGTCGCTCCTGAATTCCGAGTGAGAACCACTGGCTCAGGTGCAGCTTCCCGCCTGTGCGCACTCGTCGCTTGCCCAGGCTGGACTGGGGCAGCGTTACCTGCTGGGGCCACTTCCAGCTGCCCCCACTGTGACATGACCCCTGTGATGTCACAGGTACCAGAGCACATCACAGCCAGGCCAGCCCCGCCCCTTGTCCCCACCCTGCCTCAGGGACTCAAAATGGCCCCCGGACAACCAAAGGCCCGACACCCCCAAAATGCAGGCCCCCCTCTCTGCAATGGGTCTCCAGGGGCCCCCTTTCCAAAGCAGGCAGAAGCCCCCAAAGCCTTGTCAGCCATCAAATTGGGTGGTGTGACTCATGGATGCTTTGCTCCCTGAGATCCCCTGCTGTGAGTTGGGATGGTTTCCTTTGGTGCTGACCTCTGTTCTTGTGGGGACCTCTTTGATACAAGGCCGCACGTTTGG